GGGTGCTGGGATTTGAACCTGGGTCTTCTGCAAGAACAGCCAGTGTTCTTAACCACTGAGCCATCTCTCCAGCCCCTTATTTTTTTTTTTTGATTGAGCAACTTAAAAAAGTTATTCCAGGGGCTGGAGAGATGACGCAACAGTTAAGAGCACTGGCTGCTCTTGCAGAGGACCCAGATTGGATTCCCAGCACTCACGTAGTGGCTAACAACTGTCTTTAACTCCAGTTCCAGGGGATCTGACACCTCTTCTGACCTTCACAGGCATTGTACAACATGGGTGCACTTATATACATGCAGGCAATACATTCAAACACGAAAAATAAAAACAAATAGTGGCTGGAGAGATGGTTCAGCGGTTAAGAGCTCTTGCAGAGGACCTTGGTTCGATTCCCAGCACCCACATGGGGGGACCTGATGTCCTCTTTTGATCTCCATGGGCATTGCATGACATGGGTGTACCTATCTACATGCAAGTAATATACTCATACATGTAAAATAATAAGTATTAAAAAATAAAAACATATATATACTTTTTAAGTTATTCCATTTCCCCTGTCTCCTAATCAGAAAGTCTTCTAAGTCTAGAGTTAATAAGTACATTTTTCCTCTTTCTGAGCAACACAAGGTCCTCAGGGGATCTTAATTTCATTGATGTCCTTTATATTATTATTATTATTATTATTATTATTTTGTGTGTTTTTATGATGTGTATGTGTGTCTGTGGGCACACGTGCTTGCCACTGTGCAAATGTGGAAGTCAGAGGATGACCTTGGGGTTGGTCCTTACTATGCACCTTGTTGGAGACGAAGTCTCTTGCTTGCTGCTATACACACCAGCCTAGCTGGACTATGCCTCTCATCTTGCCACAGAAGCACTAGGGTTACAGGTACACAGTACTGGGCCTGGCTTTACATGGGTTCTGGAGATTTGAGTCCTCACACAGCTATAGCTAGTACTCAGTATGTCCCTTCTTCACTACCTGTTCTATATATTATATCTCTAGAGAGTTCATCCCTGATGATGGCATCCCCTAGTAGCTTGCCTTTATCAGGTATGTTGCCAATCTTGTCTGTTTACAATTAATGGCCAGGGGAGTACCAAGACATAGCTACCTCCTCCCTCCCCCCAAATGCTCAAAGGCTGGGAATGAAGTGGTAGAGCACTTGCCTGGCATGGGTGAGGCTGACAACGATTTCTGGCAACCATTCCTGCCTGTTCACATTATGTAACTGGTAGCCCTCCTTACAAGAATCGGGGAATCTGTGAGATGGCTCAGAGGGTAAAGATGCTTGCCACCAAACCTGATGACCCAAGTTTGAGTCCTGAAACCCACATGGTGGAGAGACCTGACTATACACACACACACACACACACACACACACACACAAAATAAAAAATTGAAGTATGAGGGTCAGTTATGCCAGCCCAATTGGTCACTTTTTTCTGTGCTTATCAATTTACTTGCATGAGTTTTCCCACATGACCAGATAGCAGCCAGCTTCAACTTTACTAGGTCCCCTGGTAGCCAGGACCTCTGGAATCACAGGGAACTTGATTCGGCAGAACAGGAAACAATCTTCCCAAGTGGGTTACTGGGAATTACACTTATTGGGGACAGAGTCTCATAATTTTTTTTTTTTTTTTTTTTTTTTTTTTTTTTTTTTTTTTTTTTTTTTTTTTTTTTTTTTTTTTTTTTTTTTTTTTTTTTTTTTTTAAAAAAAAAAAAAAAAAAAAAAAAAAAAAGAGGACGATAAATCTTTCACTGTGATATATCAAAATAA